AATGAAAATATAGTTCTGCAACTGTAATTGATAATGTTTTGAACTTTTACAATATTGCATGGTAGAACCAGAAGCTGCTCTTCATATTAGTGACAAACTTGGGTTACCATCATTTTTGCCTTCTATTTTTCATTTAAAATACGTTTCCATTTTCGGCAAGCTTGTAAGGTTCTTCTTCTACATATTAAAAAAGTTGTTAAACATCTGAGTGGCGCACTACTGCTACTAGTGGTGAGAAAGTGTATTGCACTTTATTCAAAATCAATGCGGTCCCACGGCCCTCTGCGGCCCGAAGTTAAAAACTGTTGTTCTTTTGAGGCCCTCAAGGTGGCGCTCTTAAATACCTCTAGAGGAGACTTGGACATTATTGGTAGACCTCAAAGATATTTCAATTATTTTACACTTTATGTTCATGATGTGACCAGTACTTGAACCTGCAGCCTCAGGATCACAACACAGCAATGACCAACAAGTTACCTCAGCTTCTGCTATCTGTTTCATCCACATTTCATTGCATTTCAAATTTTGCTTGAGACACTGAGAATGTTAGGAAAAAAGTAACATTATTAATTGTACATAATAAAACTGTGTATCGTTCCCATCTTATCATCTATAAAGATCTGTGGTTGTAGTTTTGTGTCAGTTTCACAGAGTGCACGTCTGTGTGTGCTGTCAATATAAATGCATTATTCTGSTGTGTGTGTCTGTGTGTTTGTGTGGGTCAGCAGTGTTAGGTTTAGACACTGTTTGTCTGCAGGGATTGTAGGTTTAACAGCGTTAAGCCGACACAAAGTCCTCTGCTCTGCAGAAAACTGTTTTCCCTGCTGGAGAAAAAAAATAAATAAAAAAATCCTTCTATCCAACTGACTGTCCACAACTGATAGGAAGCTCTTTGACCTTGGAAGGAACTCATGAACGCCCTGCARAAATTCTGGCTACTTTCTGCCCGTGATTATACAGACAATTTATTAGTGTCTAAAGCTCTGACCAAATTACTGTTTATACGTTAGAAATGTTTTGGATTTTCTGCTTCATGTTTATATACTTCAGTTTCCTTCTTTTGTTATTTAGGATTTCATTTCCTCACACTCAGCAGAGCAGAGAATTAGAGCCAGAGCAAATTTGACGCAGAGGTCGGGCGTCGTYGTGCTGTTTAAAAGTTTGAATCAGCATATTTGATCTGGAGGTCAGGACTTCTCACACSAATTCATTTGTTTTAAAGAATAAACCAAATCTATGTAAACATTTGTAAAATAATGCTTATCTTGACRATAAATTAACTTATTTTGTTAAACAATAGATTCAACAATAGACTTAACAAACATAACCRTCATCTGGTGCCACACATGAAAGTTCTGTGTATAGTTTATTTAAAAAAAACTTGTTTAATTGGGCTGTAAACTAAAAAAACTGAAAAGCTGCAGCAGTAGAAAGAAATGCATACAAATATTAAAATAACAGTTTCATTAAAAAATTAAAATCCTTCCATTTAACCTCATCATTATAGCTGAAATTTGTTGTGTAATGCCAATAAATAAATAAATAAATAAAGTGTGTTAARCCCCTGCGTGTCCATTCCATTTGTGGCTACAAAAGGTGTTTGATTCTTTGCTACATTAACTCAATCAAATCTATCCGGTGACAGAAAAAGCCGTTTGCATGGATGAACCCTTTCATGCAGGTCGTTTAACATTTAAATGGCTTGCCACAATGATGGATCAACAGGAGGACTTGCTATCAAAAAGACAGCTCGGTTGGTGAGTGAGTTTTATTAAACGCAGCCAGAAAACACGAGGGAGAGAGTGACGGAAAGACGACTTCGGTGAAAATGAGCGAGAACGCTCACTTCCCTCACCTGTGTCACCTCTACGGGAGAGATGAGGCGTAATGCAGAAAGAGACATACAGAAAAGTCAGATGACAGGAAAGAAGAAGAATTATCATAATTTGAGTTGTCGGAATAACATAAAGGTCTGTTTAAACATTTTTGCTCAGCTTTTGAGTGGCGCCATCTTTAAGAAACGTGGTCTTACTGGTAAAATAAATTTGGAATCGACTTCAAGTAGAACAGTTTCCACGTGCAAAGGCAAAACAAAAGCCCTAAGGGGTTTTAGTGGTAATTTCCGCCTGAAAATACACAGCGCAATAAATCAAGAATAGCTTCACAGTTATAAAGTCTAAATGCTAACTCGGTACCTCTGTAAAGGTAAGATCTTAAAGATAATTTCTTAAGTGAAACTACTACTGTAACTCTTACTGCGCCTGAGTTATGTGATTAAATAAAGAAAATTTGTAATTTTTTAGCCTCGCCTATATATATAT